TGTAATCCCTAAAACCTCCTAAATGCATTTCAAACGTTTTTTTTCACTAAATCCTTATAGTTATTTTCTTCAATACATATATAGCTGTTAAATGTTCATTCAGAGTTTGAACTTTAGAAAACTTGTCTTAAATACGTTTTTATTTTTTTTTTCTTACGAGATCTATAGTTGTATACTCTAGCACACATACAATGCGCCACCTAGCTTGCCTGTACAATACGTACATTTTGGAGAAGTCAGTTCATCTTGGGATGACAAATCTCCCATTAAGGTAACTGATGTCTTTTTATTCAAGTATGTGTGACATTTAATTAGGGGCTGAGAAAGAGAAAAACATTTTAAAGCTATTTTCAAAAATATGTATGTATATATTAATATTTGATGAAAATGTTTTGAAATGAGTGAAAATTATCAAGTGGTGGCGTTAAGGTCGTCTTCAAGTATGATCAAGTAAATTGGCTAAAATATTTTTAATCATTGGATTCTCACTGAAAGATTAGCAAAAGATGTACTACATAAAATTAAAATAAAGTTGATTGAATTCGTTTAAAGTAAATAATTTTGGTGAATAAAATACGCATAACTAGAGTTTGTAAATTGAATTAATTCATACCTAAAACAGAAAGTTAAAAAACTTTTCAACAGAAACTTAAAGCCGACTAATTTTGTAAAATTTCTGAAAACTTTTTTTTTTTTTTAGTGGCCGAGCAATACCTTATTTTTCACCTGAACTATCTTGCTAATGTGATGTATATTCATAATATTACAGCCAATACTCGTTGTTATTTAAAGTCTGCTCAATTGCTAATTCGTTTGATTCACGGAGATTCCACATCTATGGGACACCTTAGAAAATTTTAGCTCAATATTTGAAAACTTTAAAATAATTTGGCAGTTACATCAACTTCTATATCTTCGAGATTCCCTGTGAAGGATGAAGTGGATCAAAACTGTCTTGCTTTGATAGATGCTGTTAGTTACCTATTTTCTTTTTGTTTTATCTTTCATTAACAATGTAAGTTTGTTAATAGAGGTGTTGAGATTGTACAAGCTGAAATACCAGTTTGCAAATTTCTACGAAATAAAGTTACCTTGCTTAGGTATGACTTTTAGATTCAAGCCCCAGGTAGCTTGAAACAGGTTGTTCGCTATTTTTGGCCTTGATGAATTAGGACAGCGTTCCAGCATTTATTATAAAAGTGCACCCGCCCTTTCATTAGCAATAAAATATGTTAAATCTATTATTAGAAGGTATATTCAAACCTACGCGATATCGTTAAACGGTTAACCTGATATTGAACAGTTAAATAATTGCTCGTAATTTCAATGTTTGCCATTAATATGGTCCCCGTTGGCTCAGTGGTAAGACTGGGGGCTTATAACGTAAAAAATTAGGTTTCAACAACCACCGTGGGCAGCGCAAAGGTAGCTCTTTGTGTTGAACAACAACATTAAACATGAAATTATAATCGATAAGTTGGTAAGACATGCAGATAGATTATAAAGGAAGTAGAAATACAATTGCACCCATCATCAACTCTTAGACTACTCTAATCAAATAGTGGGATTTGACAGCCGCTTTTATAATTCACCCATGTTGGGGGAGGGAATTGTCGGACACGAACCATGAACCCTCGAATCCATCATCTGAGACACTAACCATTAAGCCACACCAAACTTTTGACTCCCTTACAACTGAAAAACCTACAAAATATAATTTTTAGTGACGTACTCCATAAATATTCATTGGATGAAGTATATTTAAATGGTGTAATTCAGTGAACACAGTCAATTCTAGTTTCTTAAATATAAATATGTACACAGAAAAGTATATAAATAGTCAAAATAACCAAGTAGAAAATCAAACATAGACATATATTCAGATAAACAAACGATAGAATTGAATAAACAAATATATATTGCAAATGTTTATTTTACTTAGGTAACTCGGCTTAAACCTGAATGAAAAAAAAACAAAAAACAGTACAGTAAATTCCTACCATATAATAACACTCGCATTATAAAAATGTTCGCTATATTCTTAAGGTAACAGAACATGGGAGGTAGTTGACTTTCTGAATAACTAAAAAGCAAAAATATATAATTTGGTTGTTTAAAGGTAAAGAATCAAAAATAACAATGGCACTATGTTAATAAAACATATGCAACCGCCGTTCTCTAGTTATGCAATGTAAATTATTTAAATTAATCTGAACAACGTAATGCTCATTAATATTCTGTAGAATACAGTCAAATTCCTTTTTTTTTGTTTCATATAATTTACTAACAGGAAGTCGTAATAGAAACACGAACCTCTATATATGTATGGAAGAATGGACATTGATAATTGATGTGTCATAAATCAAAATAAATTATTGGGGCAATAAACAATAAGAATAGGTATTATAATAACAACTGTGTATTCACGTACAAATTTCAGTGTTTCTTATTTTTGTGTTAGGGAGTTTTGAAACGTATTTTTCTTTCAGTCCTGTGTATCTTAAGTCCTTATAGCAATTAGTTTCAATATTTATACGAATGAGATAAAAAGTTGCGTTTAATTTAATGGTATGTTTAAAGACGATAGATCAGAATTTTGAGATGCAAGATTATTCATGCATTTAAATATGTATGAGTCATCAAAAGAAGTATGATTGTATATCTCGTTTATCTCTTGGGAACTATGTGAGTATTTTCCAATTCAAGCCTGTCTTGTAAAACTGGTTGTGACTAAAATACCGATCTTGGTTTGTTAGATCTGGTTTTAAAACTAATAATGAAATTCGTTGTTTTCATCTCCCACCTTTTTTTTCAAAATGACATATCTTGAAGTTATGTTTTGTTTCTGGATATTCGCACAAAGAGATGTCTGCACTAGCCGTCAACAGTATCCACTGCAAATTAGAATTTAGTATAGTTACTCAAGGGCTAGCCGTCCCTATTTTAACAGTGAAAGACAACAGGGAAGGAAGTTAGCTAGTCAACGCCCGCTCTTGGGCTACTATTTTACCAGTGAATAGTGGGATTGACCGTCACATTTATAACGCCTCCACGGCTGAATAGGCAAGTCTGTTTGATAACGGGGATTCGAATCCGAATATGAGTTGAGCGTTTTAACCACCAGCCCATGATAGGCTTTTTAAGATAGCACTATTTTCAAACAGTGATTTTGTTTCTAATACTAACACTGAACCACCTTCTGTAAAAAAGATAATAATAATAATGAAAATAGTAACAATACTGTTTTTCATATTTACCGTTCATGGATAATATAATAAGGAAACAGAGGTCAGAGATTATACTCAATTACCACACAGTATATAGAATAAATACAAATTTCACGTGAAGGTATATATTAAGATAGATAGAAAATAACAAATTGTAAAACATCAAACTTTACAGTTATAAACTGAAATTATCAAAGTAGTGGAAGCACAAGATGAAGAGGCGATGATCAGCAGAACATCATTATTAAAAAAAATATATTGTGTTTTATGGAAAAAAAATCTAAAACTGGAAATATTTCATTTACCAGTTTTATTATTTAAACAAGAACTATACACTTTGCATGATTACATCATAATGATTTGTTTGTTTGTAATTACGCACAAAACTACACAATGGGCTATCTGTATTCTGCCCACCACGGGTATCGAAACCTGGGTTCTGGCGTTGTAAGTCCGCAGACATACTGCTGCGCGTCAGAATGATTTGTAAGTAAATAATGCTGTTATATTAGAACAATTACTTACTTGAGAAGATTGGAAAACAGCATTTGTTATCATATAGGTTGTCTCCAATTCATCGCCAGGGTTGATAGCAAACAGAAGATGGGTTACACCCAGTAATGGGAATAATAGGGCTGTAGCTTTAATGGCCTTTCTACACAGAATAATAAAATATGACATAAAATATTTAATGAAGAGAAAACATTTTACGGTTAATAATGAGAAAATAAAACATTGTATTAACCTTGCTCATACAGATAGCTATGGTTAAAATGAGATTTTCTCGGGACATGTTTGTTTGTTCATTATATTTACGCAAAGCTAAACAAGGTCTATTTGCACTCCAGTCCCTAATTTTGGACTGATAAGCTAGATGGAAGATATCTAGTCAAAAGCACCCACAATCAATTCTTGGACTGTTCTAATCCATTAACGGGATTTGACCGTCACATTTAAAAGGCATCCTCACAACCAAAGAACGGAGAACGATTCTGCGACCATTGGACTTGAACTATAGATCTTTAAGTTCATAGTCCGGCATGCTAGCCACTAAGCTACTTTCTGCCTCATTATGTGTTGGTCATGTGAAAGATTGTTTCTTATGGATTTCGCACAAAGCTACACGAGGGATATCTGCGCTAGCCGTCCCTAATTTAGCAGTGTAAGACTAGAGGGAAGGCAGCTAGTCATCACCACCCACCGCCAACTCTTGGGCTACTCTTTTACCCATGAAGAGTGGGATTGACCGTCACATTATAACGCCCCCACGGCTGAAAGGGCGAGTATGTTTGGTGTGATGGGGATTCGAACCTGCGACCCTCAGACTGCGAGTCGAGCGCCCTAACCACCTGGCCATGCCAGGCCCCATCTGAAAGAAAAGATGTGATTTATATTTTAAAGTAAAATAACGTTATTTTTAAATCTGACAGTTGCTAAAACTTTGTGACGGATTTACTATAATATATATCTATTTTAATTTTGATGTTTGTTTAAGTTAAATATATATTTAGAAATGTACATAGCTTATACTGGTAAATCTGTATTGCGAAATTCCCGCCTATTCTTTAAAATTGTAGAAGATTCTAGAGTGTAAGAATCAACAATATGTGTGTACATAAACGCTTATGTATTGTTACATAAGCCAGTATTGTTACGTAAAACTGAAATTTCGAGAAACTCCTTTCACGCCTATAAATATAACCAACGCGCCGCACCAAAAGACAGTATATACAGGGGTTGGACAAAATAATGGAAACACCTAACATTTTGGAATCATAATCTTTGAACATGTTATAAACAATCAAAACTTGATATATTTTAATGTTTTATTGTTTATTATTGTTGCTATTTGATATTTTATTTAAATTAACTGTTTCTTACAGATATCTAAAAAAATTTGGTTATAACCTTATAAAAATGGCAGACCTCTCTGACTTTCAAAGAGGCCAAATTACTGGTATATTACTGTATATTACTGGTTTGCTA